GTGCGGTCTTCCACGACGCGAGGGAAGAACCGGGGAGAACAAAAAGGAGGGATCGAGCCATCGGGCAAAAGAGAGAAAGAAACAGAAAGATATTTGTATTATGAAAAAGAAAAAAACACGCGAGTTAGCAGCGCTACGTGTGTGTCGTCGGTACGTGTACTCCACTTTATCAGTAGATAATACGATACATCGAATCGGGTTTAGGTGTTTCCACGTTCAGTTCCGTAGTGCACCTGCGTGAAAGAGGATTCTCAGACACCAAAATGGCTGCCACACACCTCGACGTTGGTCTACGTTGCATCAAGTACCTGCTTTGCGCGGTTAACTCCCTTTTTGTGGTCTGTAGCCACATTCTTTTATCTTGTTTCTCGCCTATTTTCTATTCAGCGATCATTACGTCGCGTTTACCAGATACATATGTACAAAGCCGATTTTCTGCGTCGTTCCATTAACTATAATAATAATACGCTCGTCCAATTGTACGAATCCCTGTTCGATCATATCGAACCGATAGAGCTTATTACTGTCTTGCTCATTTCAAATCGTGAATTCGACTCTTTTGGTTCCTCTCGTTGCCTTTTCCATTCCAAATGTTTCTACGTTTCTCGACGTTATGCTTCTGATTCTCCAAGTCAGATTTGGCCGAATATCATCATGGCCATGCTAATTACTCCCGCCAATTGTTCACACACGTACGTACACATCGAAACAAATAAATATCGACACGCGTTTAAACTGCCAAAAAGGTAATGATAAACGCAATTTAATTCGTCTGTTTCTCGCCTGTATCATACGTGTCTGTACTCTTTTTTTTTTCCTCGATGAGTCGTTCGAGCAAACACGCTGTTGCGTTGTTGCGCAACGTTTGTATCGAACGAATCCTTAGGTGAACGTATGTTCAGTATCGTGCAGTCGATCATATTTCTTATCTGTTCGTGAAAGAATAAACAAAGCAATGGAAAAAAAAACAGCTCGAGACACGTCAATTTCGTACATACGGTGACTACTGAAATATTTATTACACGTGCACGTGTGTGTAATAGGAAAGCTTGAATAGTCGAACATGAAAAGGTACGATCAAACGAAGTAATAAGTAACACGTTAATGGAATCACGGGGTAGGAAAACGGGAACGATAAACGGGGTCGAGGTTGGTTACGACGATAACCGCGACGCCAGTCGATTTTTCCCCCGTTTTCTCCGAGGAGAAATGGTAACGAGAATAACCATACTCGGCCGTGAGATTCAACAAGTTAGGTCGACCCTCGGATATGAACGTGGATCATAGTTCCACTCTGT